ATCCCATCCCATCCCATCCCATCCCACCCACCCCCAGCACTGCTTCAGGACAGCACCAGGAGGTGTGAGCCCTGTGGGTTTAACAGGAATCCTGCAGCATGATCCTGTGTGCCCCCAGTCCCCAGAGGCTGAGCCAGGCATGGTTCCCAGCCTCCTGGAGGGAGCATAGCAGGCTGTGTTGCCCCAGGGGAATGCCTACAGGAGGGCTGTGGTTCAGTAAAGTCACCAGAGAGTTGTCACAGGCAGGGAAAGGCAGCTGGAGAGCCAGGAGGACTGAGATAATTATTTCAGGGATATTTTCAGGAGCTGTCTTTGAGTACAGCGGAACAGGCTGTCAAACACTTCACTCCATGTGCAACCACTTGCACAACCACTGAGTCCCTGCTGCTTCTCCAGTGCCCCTGGGTGAGGACTGAACCCAGGGACCCTTTGTGCTGAGCTCAAATATTTCATGGAGGCACCTGAGCAATAGGAAAGGCAGGATGGGAGCCCTGTGGGCTGGGATCAGGTCACTGGCTGTGCTGGGCTCTGTGGATCAGCTGTGCACTCCTGCACCATCTGCTCTCAGCAAGCTGGCTCGTGCCAACCCTGGCTTGGCCCACGGCTCCGAGGGGCTGCTGGAGAAGCTCTGGGGAGCAGAGGCTGAAGGGCTGTCAGGGGCAGGCAGCAGCCTGGCCCTCGTGCTGGGCTGAGTCACTGCGGGCAGAAATGCATCTGTGGTCATGGAAATGATCCTTCCGCTCTTGCGCTGCCTGGTTACTTCTGTATTCAGAGGGGAGAGCTCTGTGAGAGCTGCACCTCACCCGGGCCAGCTTGTGGGGCTGTGATAAGGAGGGGAGGATCTGCCCTCTGGCTGCTCCAGCCCCTTCACGTTCTGGGTTCTGTGGGGTAACAGGACAGCTTTGGGGTTTGGTTGTGCACACACCAGCTCACCTCTGCCCGATCAGGGCTGAGACCTGCACACACAGCACTGAGACTTGAGGAGGCACAGTTGTGAGGGGGGATTGTCAGGGGCCATCACAGATATCCTGCCCACAGGCAGAGGTGACTCTTCAGAAACTAGTCTGGAAGAACTCAGGCATCTTCCCCCATGCTTCTCTGCCCCAGCTAAGGAAGCTCTGGCATGCTGACCCTCGCTGCAGCAATTAGTGAGCCATTGTGGCTGTATTTGGAGACTGGTCTCACGTCTTCCCTGAGCAGAGAATGACTTGCTCCTCCTCCACATCCTCATGGCTGTGGATGAAGCACTTACACCTTGCCCTGCAAACACCCACAGACTCTGGTGATCACATGATTTCCTCACACAGCAGCTTAAAGGTGTTATGTTGGGCTGGTCACCTAAACCCCAACCTCTTCTGTAAGGGATTTCCTGCTTGGAGAGCAGTTTCCATGCAGGAAAGTCACAGAATGGTTTGGGTTGGAAGGAGCCTTAAAGCTCATTTTATTCCAACCCCTTGCCACAGGCAGGGACACTTTCCACTAGACCAGGTTGCTCCAAGCCCTGTCCAGCCTGATCTTGAACACTTCCAGGGATGGGACATCCATCTCCTGCCGTGGCTCAGCCTCCTTTCACCCTTTTCTGAGTGCTGGCCAGCACCCCTTTTTGGTGCTGAGGGGCTGTGTGTTATTTCAAGCAGCTTATTTGCATCTGCCTTGTTCTCCTGTGGCAGATTGCAGAAGGAATGGCTTTTATTGAGAAGAGGAACTACATCCACAGGGACCTGAGAGCTGCCAACATCCTGGTGTCAGCAGTGCTGGTGTGCAAGATTGCAGACTTTGGGCTGGCCAGGGTGATCGAGGACAGCGAGTACACGGCCCGGGAAGGTGCTGGGGGCAGAAGGTTGGGGGGCTCCCTGAGGGCCACCTGCCCCCACAGTGCTCCTGACCCCGGGAGGGGTGTGCTGGGTGCACGGGCAGAGGGAAGCTCCTCTCATTTGCATCACTGCACTTGTTCCTCTTCTGTTTGTTTCTTGTTCCCCATATTTCAGCACCCCTTTCTCAGCAGCTGGGGTTGAGCTCGTGTTTCCCATTGGATCTCTTTGTCCAGGTGCCAAGTTTCCCATTAAATGGACTGCACCAGAAGCCATCAACTATGGATCTTTCACTATAAAATCAGATGTCTGGTCCTTTGGGATCCTCCTCACTGAGATCATTACCTATGGACGCATCCCCTACCCAGGTAAGGAGGTGAAATGCCTCCTCCTATCTGATTCCAAAAGACACATTCCACCTTCTGGGCTCCATGCATGTGACCTGAGCTTCTCCAGCTCCATGGGAAAACCCTGTAAATCCTTATCATTAGGGACCATCCTGTATTTTATACTAATAATTACTTTGGTACCTTTTTTTCAATGGGGAATTACTCTGTAAATGCAAGTGGACCATGAAGGATCTGGGGTGGCACAACAGGCAGTTCTGAGGAGCAGCTCTGCCCTCACACTGACTTTTCATTGGAAGCAATGGCTCATCACAGACTTAGCATTTTAATTTATACAAAGTGATTTTAATTTATACAAAGAGATTATGAACTCCATCTGTCCTGGGGCACAAAACTCCATCCCACAATAACCCAGCATCTCCTTTGACCACGTTTCCCTAACCAGGAACAGCAGTTCCCCCTTCCCAGCCCCTCTAACCACTGTTCCCTTCCTGGAAACATTGCCCAAAGGGAGAGAAGTTTTGGGTTTGGGCATTTTATGACTTTTAAAGGCACCGGTGGCAGGTGATGTTCAGCTGTCCCCCGTTTCCAGGGATGTCCAGCGTGGAGGTGATCAGGGCGCTGGAGCGCGGGTACCGCATGCCCCGCACGGAGAACTGCCCCGAGGAGCTCTACGACATCATGATGAGGTGCTGGAAGACCAGGCCCGAGGATCGCCCCACTTTTGAGTACATACAAAGCGTTCTGGAGGATTTCTTCACTGCCACAGAGAGCCAGTACCAGCAGGAGCCCTAGCACGGGACGCTGCCAGCTCTTCCCTGTCTCACCCGTGCCCTGCTTGCCCTGCCAGCCTGGCCCAGGAGCCACAGCCCTGCTGGAGGGGCTGGGATGGGGGCAGCACACCATGGAGGGACAAGAGACGTGCCCACAGCTTGTGCCTTTCCCAGGGGCCTCAGTGTCCACACGGCAGCGGCTCCAGGAAGGGCTGGCTGCACCCTGGATGCCCAGGAGGATGGACAGGGAGGGGGCCAGGCCTGCTTTTGCTGCAAGGAAAGACCCAGATCGGTATTTTTAAAATAGTTCTGAGATTTTTATCACGTCGTTCTGCACAAGTAGGTGCCTTAGCTGCTGGCCATGGTGCCTGTGCTCCCTGTGTGATTGCTCCCAGGGGATGCCCCGGGGCACGCTGCAGTGCAGCCATGGGCTCATCCTCAGCACAGGATCCTGGGGTTTGGCTGTCACAGACACCTGCCCTCCTCTCTCCCTCCTGGTTTTCCCTCCCCGGTGTTTTCATGGCAGGCCCTGTGCAGAGGGCAGGTGTGGTGAGGCTGTGCCAGGGGCAGATGGACACAGACAGGGCTTTTCCAGGATCCCCCTGCACCTGCCTTGGGAGGAGCCGCTGGAGCCCAAAGCCATGGCAAAGCTTACAGGCACCATTCGTTGTCTGCTGGGGCATTTGCAGTGTCAGCAAGGGCCAGGTGCTCCCTGCACACACACTTGATGTTTATTTTTAGTATTTCATGAGGTTATTTGGGGAAAAGGAGTAAACAGTATTTTTTTTTTAAGACAGCCGTGTACCTCTTACAGCAGGGAGACTGGTGCCTGTGATTATATTTTTGATACCGAGAGGCAAACGCCATCGCTTCTGCTTTGGGATCTTTTTTTTTTTTTTGAAATCAATAAAATATTTATCAACCTTTCCTCTCCTGGCCGTTCCTGCTGCTCCGCATCCCGGGCGGGGGAGACGCGGATGAGCTGGGGCCAGCAGCGCCCCGCGGAGCGGGGGCTCCAGAGCCGGGCAGACCCGCAGCGCCCTCTGAGCAGGCCTGGGGCTCGGAGGAGCCGGGAGGGACCGGCAGGACCCGGGAGGGACCGGGAGGGACCGGGAGGGACCGGGAGGTTCGGGACGCCCCGGGCACCTCCCGGCCCCGCCGCCCTCACCAAACATGGCGGCCGCAGCGTCGCGCCCGCTCGCCATGCAAAGCCCGCTGCCCTCAGCAAAGATGGCGGCGCGGACCGCCCCTTCCCCGGCCGGCTTCACGGGGCCGGTGACCCGCTGGGGACCGGAGCGAAGATCCCAGCCCCGGCCCGCCCGTAAGGAGAGCTGTGCCGATCCGGGGCTGAGCTGGGCCCGGCCCCGGCAGCGCGGCCCCGGCGCGGTCCTGCCCGGCCGCCGCGGTCGCCATGGCGATCGGCCCCGCAGCCAACCGCGCGCCGCTTCCGGTGACGTCAGCGCCGACACGTGGATCGAAGATGGCGGCGTCGGCGGCGATGGTGAGTGCGGCGGGCCCGGCCCGGCCCCGCGTCCCGCCCGCTCTGCCCCGGCCCGGCCCGGCCCGGCTCGGGGGCTGCGGTGGGATCTGCACCGCGCCGGGAGCGGTGCGGCCCGGCCCCTTGGCGGAGGAGCTGCCCGTGCCGCCCGGGGCCTTGCAGCTGCCCCGCGTCTCCCGGCGCTGTCACCTGCGGCGGGCAGCGCTCGGGCCGCCGCTCGGGGCTCCTGTGCCGCCTGCCCCGCGCTGCCTCGGCTGCAGAGTCGGCTCCCGTGTGCGGTTCGCGGGCAGGCGGGGCCGGGCGCGGCTCGGGCTGCCGGGAGCACCGGCCCGTCCCGTGCCTTCCCTGCCGAGCTGTCCGCCTGGCCGGGCCGCTGCCAAGCGCGGAGCCTGTTGCTCTCTGTGGTTTTCAGGTGTTCGGTGGCGGTTGTCGGGTCTGGGTTTGAGCAGCTGCTTCAGCTTCCCGCGTCCAGCATCCCTGGTGTTGCTGTGGAATGATTCCTTGAGCCCTCAGAGAACCGAAGGTGTTCCTGCTGGGCATCAGTGCTCCCTCACAGAGCAGAAAACGAGCTGCTGAGGCGTTTGTTATCTGCCTTGAAGTCTTGTAGGAGCCAAACGGATTTCCTCCTTGCTTTCCTAGGGGGGTATTTTTGTGGCTGTGCCTCGCAGGAATAGCGGTGTGGATAAAGGATGTGTGCTGATACAAAGGTCGCTGCTGGCTGGGCTGTGAGGTGACTCATGGGCAGATTGGGAGTGCCAAGGTTTTCCTTTCATTTGCTTTAAGCATCTTCATACCCTGCTGGCTTCCTCCCAGGCGGTGGGGAGGCAGTGCTCAGCTGCCTCTGGGAGCTGGGATCGTCCTGTTGGCAATTTCCTCGTGGCTCCCTGTTGTGAGAAGGGCAGAGAAGGCTGCCAGCAGCTCTGCTGGTGTCAGAGGGGCTCTGAAGCCAATGTGAATGCTCCTTCTGAAGGGCCCTCGTGGCTCCTCCAGTGCAGGGATGTAGTAAAGATGAGCTTATCCAAACAGTTCTCAGGATCAGCCAGGGAGGCAGCTCTTGGAAAAGGGGATGAGGGTCAGGGTGCCATTAGCACTGTTCTGCCCTGCTAGTGTGCCTGAGGGCAGAATGAAGGGTACATGTGTGAGGGAGCTTGCTGGGGTTTTTTGCTCCCACAGAGGAGCAAATCTTCCAAAGGTTGTGGCTTTCTCCCCTTTCTGTCACCATTTCTAAAAAGTTTCAGTAAGTGGAATGGAATGGGGGAGCTGTGTGAATCCATTTGGACAAATGGCTCTGCACAGGTAATTTTCCCTGTTTTTCTTCAAAGCTGTCTTTGAAAGTTAACAGCTCTTGATTATGGCTCTTTGATGTCCCTCTTGCCTCTCTCTGCCAAAAAGAGATGAGATGATTCGTGATATCCATCTCTGTCACTTCCTACTTCCTTTTCATCTCTTTGAACAAATCCTGTGTTCTGTTCTTCAGTTCCTGTGTGGCCTGTGAAGCTCTTAAGACCTAAACCAGCCCTGGTGCAGCACTGGCTCAATTCTGATGCTTGAAATTGCTGCTGCTTGAGGGTTTCTTCAAGCTGTTGGCAGTACCCTGGGCAGGGATGTCCTGGGTGCACGTGGCCAGGCCATGGACCCTCTGGAGCTGTTGCAGAGTGCCCCAGGGAGCAGCTGCTGTTTCCCCTTTGCCTTAAATCAATGCCAGACTCTGGCAGTGGGAGCTGGAGGGACCACGAGTCCTGGGGAGGGACAAGTGTGGTAATAACTGGGTGTTTTAGGGCCTCTTCGTGCTGGGTCAGACTGGGGTTTAGAGAACAAGTCCTCAGCTTTGGCAGCGTGGTTTGTGAGCCTCCTGTGAATTCACAGAAAGTGGCAACGTTGTTTTAAGTGTTTCTGAGTGGGGTAAACCTGGTCTGCAAACCCCAAGACTGGTGATAATTGTCCAGAGGGGCCTTCTTGGAGAGGGTTTGTGTGTGAGCTTCTGATCTGAGGGACAGGAATGGGTGATTGTGCTCCTGCAGTTCCTTCTTTTGTTTAGATCAAATTCTCCTAAGACAGGGTGTCTCTGCCTGTCTGCATATAGGAAAATAATCAGGCTTAGGCAATCTGAACTGTTTTTGCCCACTTGCAGCTGGGTTTTTCTCAGTCTGGGGTTGTGCATATTTGTTGTGCTGCTTGTTGCACCATTACACGATTTCCTGGCACCTCAGATACAAGACTGTCATTTGAGGGGGTTTTTTGCATGTTTTTGAAATGGAAATGGAAAAGGCTGTGAAGCTGTGTGTCCTGTTTGCTGCAAGTCTGGGCCTTGCCAGGGCCCTGTGACTGACCCAAAACTGAGCTCCCTCCTGGAAGTTCTGACCTGGCACAGGAGAGAACTCAGCTTGCAGGCATCCCCCGTGTGAGACAATCACCTGGCCAGGCCCATGACTTACACACATCTTCTGGGGGGTGTCCATGTTGCCATTTCTGAGCTGCTGCCTTGTTTGGAGAAGATGAGGCACATTTGTCAGTTCAAGAACAAAGGTGCTGATGAGTGAGGCCCCTGGCTTCAGCTTCCCTGTGCTCTGCCAGCCCAGGAGCCTGCATTGGGCATTTCCTTCACCTTTCACTTCCAAAGCTTTCCCCACCTGTTGCAGAGCAGCTTCCCCCTTTCTTGCTACCAACTGTTCTTTGCTGGCAAGGCTTGGCAGAGTCACCCTCCTGTCTTTCCTGTTGCTGCCTGAGTCATCATCATCTGTATGCAAAGACAGCCTGACTTCTGCCAAAATTGTCATCCAAAATTTCATCTCTTGCATGCTCATGTGTCTCCTGAGTGTCTGCCAAAGTTCTGTCCTGGTCTTTTCACCTCCCAGGTGGCAGTGGTGTGGTTTTGGAGTAGCATTGTGTAGGTCTGTCACTTCAGTGACAAATGAGATAAGGGCTGCAGGTTGCTGGAGTGCAGCGTGGGACAAGAGTGCAGATTCCTTCCACTGCTTCCTCCAGCTTGCTGGGGCACAGGTGGCAGTGGTGTGGTTCTGGTTTTTGAGTAGCATTGTGTAGGTCTGTCACTTCAGTGACAAATGAGATAAGGGCTGCAGGTTGCTGGAGTGCAGCGTGGGACAAGAGTGCAGATTCCTTCCACTGCTTCCCCTGTGCAGGAGACATTTTCCTGCTCTGTGGAGAGCCATTGAGCACTCCCTTTAAAGACTGGAAAGGCAAAGTTTAGTGCAGCACAGAAAATAAGCCCCATGTTGCCTCAAGGCAGATCAGTGTTGAAGGTCAGGCAGTTTTAACAAGAATATTTCCAAGCTGGGGCTTTATGCCTGCTCCAAGTGTATTTGGTTGTGCTTAGAATAGATCTGAAAATCCCCTTTGTAAGCAAAAAAGATCACAGAATCACAGAATGGTTTGGGTTGGCAGGGTCCTTAAAACTCACTTTGTTCCACCCCACTGCCATGGGCAGGGACACCTTCCACTATCCCAGGCTGCTCCAAACCCCATCCAACCTGGTTTTGAACAATTCCAGGGATGGGGCAGCCACTGCCTCTCTGGGCAGTCTGTGCCAATGCCTCTTCCCTCACAGGGAAAAATTTCTTCCCAATATACAGTCTAACCCTACTCTGTCAGTTTAGAGCTGTTCCCCCTTGTCCTGTGCTCCATGATCCTGTAAATAGTCTCTCTCAATTTTTCTTGTAGGCTCCCTTCAGGTACTGGAAGGCCACATGTATCTGATGATTCAGTATTTATATTTTCTGTAGGTGCCTAGCATTTGCATCTTAAATACATTTTAGACTTTCAACCCCCTGATACTTCTGCCTTCTTTTTTTCCATCTTGTTCATTTCCACTGATTCTGGATGCTCAGGTTGGCCCTCACAGGTGTCTGAGCCCAGCATACTTTCCTTGCCTTGGAATGAGACAGGAGGAAGGTGATGAAGAAGAAGAGGTGTGGGGGCAATAAACAGATTTTTCAAAAATTTTTTCCCCCCAGCCTGAGGAAGGATCCCCATGACAGAGCTGCTGTTTGTCACACCTGGCCTGTGGAGTGTTCCCTCTGGTGCTGTCAGACTGACAGTGCTGAGGACACACAGGGACGGTGGGGATTTGGTTTTTATGTCTGCAGCATTAGCTCAAGAGTTGTCCAAAACCAAGGTTTTGTGTGGTTTTCCAGAAGTGCCATACACACAGGGAGTTCAGGAGAAGGGACTGAATCTAGAAGTGCTGTGAGGTTTTACCAGAGCTGATGTCCTAATCCAGGCAAGCTGCTGCTGGCTCATGCTCTTTAAAGCTCGGTTTTCATTTCACAGCCTTCCTGCCCATGCTCAGCTGGGTTACCTGAGGTGAGGGGAGGGGCTGAGGAGGCAGCAGGGTGTGTTCAATAAAGGATTTACTGTGGCTGTGTTAGGGTCTGCATTCTCCTGGAGCCCCCATAGAGTTGATTGAACCTTCCAGCCTGACTTGTCACCCTGCTCCCTAAAAAAGAGCTGAAAAAGTGTTTGCCATGTTACTGAGCTGTGCTGTGGCCTGGAGGGGTGAGGAAGGCAGAGTGGTGATGGAGCAGGAGGGAGTGGTGATGTGACTGTCCCTTTGGGTGCAGTTTCTGGTGTCACACCTGACTCCTCAGTAACTACTCTTCTGCAGGTAGTGGCCTGTGAGCATCCATCTGTAATCAGCTCCAGGGTAGCTGCTGCTGTGCAGAGCTGACACACGTCCAGAGCCAGGGCTACAGCCCTCTTCTCCACTGATCCATGGAGTTTTCTGTCACAGGGAGCTCAGTGGGGGTGAGCAGAAAAGTAAAGTGATGGCCTGCTCAGTGCCCAATGGTGCAGATAAAAATGGCATTTT